AAAATGATCCAAAAAAGCACTTCCAATCTAGCTTCCAAATTCAGATCTAAATCCAAACGAAAATTGAATGATGAATTGAAAATAATGGAGATGAGTGATGGATGTTTAGCTCTAGAATTCAAGGATTCCAATGAAGAATACAAGAACTCAAGTGAAAAGAGCGTTAATGGAGGTTTTGAGAGTGAAAAAGTGGAGAGAAAGTTGAGAGCAAATTCTCAAGAATGAATGTGAAATTTGAAAAATGAAGGTTATTGTGTGAGGTTTGGAGAAAATTCGCTTAAATAAGCTCTAGGTTTGGAATCAAAATATGGTTTGGAATATGGATTAAGATTTGGAATGGAAATTAGGAGTGGAATTAGGAATAGAGTGTTTGAAATTTGGAGGGAAATGGTGAAAATTGAAACAATTCTAGATCCTTCCAATGATGATCATGTGAAATCAATGGTTGAAAATGATTGGAAAACTTGCAATGCTGAAAATTTGAATTTCTTGGCAAATTTCGCTTGAAGTAACCGGTTACCTAATATGCGATAATCGGTTACCACATTCAAAAAATGTCCAATTTGGCGCCAAATGAAGGAAATCCTGCATAATTACCCGTTGCCACCTGTTCTAAGTTTTGTTAAGCCTTTGAAACTTGGTCTTGGATATTATGATTGTGAGAATGCTTGAGATAGCCTGTACACTATCTCCTAAGCTAAAAATAACCCGCTGAATAAAATAAAATTGACCGCTCGATCATGGGCAAAATAAATGTTGGAACCTTTGATGCTCGTTGTTTGAACCCTTGCAACAAAACGGAACATTGAGTCACAGAAATACCTTGATCCAATGTCTCAAGAGCCAATGATATGATATGCAGAGATTGTTAGATGCACAAATTTGCTTATTTGAGCTATCGAATGTGGGTATCTTTTACTCCTTTTTGTCAAAGAAGTGTTTAATATCACTCTTGCTTTGGTTGTTTTGCAACATTATGTGAAAATTTCTTGGTACCTTTGATTTTTGTGTTATTGTGTAGGAATTAGGCATGAAAAAGTAGAAATTAAGACACAAGAAAGATGACAAAGAAATCAAGACAGCATGCACACAATAACAAGTTCGCTCGGCTTGCTAGCGAAGCTGCCAACAAAACTTCACAAAGTTTGCTAGGCGAACTATGTAGCGAAGGCCAGGAATCCAAAACAGTAAGGAAAGGGCCATAAACTTGCTAGGCGAAGAAGGAAGAGAAGAGCTCGCTAGGCAAAGAGGTAGCGAACACTCCCAGACTTATAACAACAAGGAAAGGGCCATAAACTCGTTGTGCGAAGTGTGCAGCGAAGCCTTCGCACAGCGAACATTTCTTCGCACAGCGAACATTGGGATTTATGACTGGGGAGCTTTCACAAGACTTAAGCACTTCAGGTGCCATTTTGGGTGTTCGCTACGCGAACAATTCATTTGCACTGCGAACGTGACAGCACAACAGTCACTTCTATAAGTAGTATGAGCTACTTTTTGTAAAAATATCTATTTTTCTTGTACTTGCATTTTGAGAGGATTTTATGACATAGGAACTCATTCCGCCATTTTTCATCATCTCTTAGCAATATTTCACAAAAAGAAGGTGGATTCCCATCCAATCTCGATTATTCGACTCGGATGTTGATCAACCTTCTTTTGAAACTTGTTGCTCAAGCTATCATGGAAATGGTTAGCTAAATCCCTCTCTTGTCAAGGTTAGAAGTAGTTAGTTCAGATTTTATGTATTCCATTTGATCTTTTGTATGTGAACAAATGTTGTGATCAATATAGATGAAGTTGTTTGCTACTCTTTGTACATTTATGGTATGGAATGCTTTAGACATGAACTTTCCAAGTCTTGACCTAATATCTTCATCTATCAACTATACAAATTCTAGACATAGGTTTGAAAGTTGATATCTGCTTTGTATTGATCTTAATGTTTATTGTTTCGATTGTTACTTAGAGAGATCATTTAACGGTCAAAACAATAACAACCACGAAATCGATTTAGACATGAACGTTTTTGCGAGGATACGCGGTTATGTTGGTTAAAACTTCGTTCACATATTTGATTGATTGGATACGTTTAGGACGGACTAGTGAACCCTAATCTTGACATGTTTTTATCAAACTTAGACCGAATTGTATTCCGCTTTATTTCTTTCAAACTTTTGTTACGAAATTGAAACCATTCTAAAAAACCCCTTTTCTTAAGACCTTAAACTGTTGAACGACAAGTATTTATATTCTCTTCAATCCTTGTGGAGACGATAAAACAATACCCCAAAATACCTTCTAACACCCACCATGATAATCATAATAACCCTTAGCTAGTTAGAACTTCACCCTTATCTTAGAGTTCTTGTGATGATTTCATCTTCTTTAATAATGGAGTCTCTTCTCTCTTCTCTAGAGACGTAGCCTTTTTACTCCTCTTTCACACTTTTTCTCAGTTTTCACAATCTGACAACAACTCCTCTTTTTCTATTATTATAATTATAAAAATTATTATTATTATTATTATTCCACAAATTAAATAATAATAATAATAATAATAATAATCCCTAATTATTTAAATTAGTAGTATTCAACTAATATTATTTTAATTAGTCATTCTCGCCACACCACTAAGTTCTAGGTAATCGGTCATACACCCCTCACCTATAGGTCTATAATTCTAAAATCACTACCATCTACCACAGAGTACCCCAACACACCAATAACACATATATACACAACAACACATAATTTTAATTACGAAAAAGTTATTTTAAAAAAAATGGGGCGTTACATATACTGGAGAGTAAACTCTTTCCTTTTCACAATTTTGTTTAATATTCACTAAAGCTTCATAAAATTTGCAAAGCATCCCTGCAAAAATATAATAAGGTTTCACCTTTGGTACCCAAATTTTCATGGATCTCAGTGTGTTAGTAGTTCTAAAATGTCTAGGGTTAATATCTTTAGACGTTTTCAATTTATTAAAACAAAATAGTTATAAATGGCCAAATTCTAGTGAGATCATTTAAAAATAGGTCAATTCCCTTTCTTCGTATTTAGTTATTTACAAAGTATTCTACCAAACTTAAACCATAATCTAGTTTTATTCAAGGAATGACTTTAACATGATAAAATCAAGTCACAATTTTATTTTTTCTCAGTAAATTTACTTAGAGTTTCATGCAAATTTGTTACTTCCTTTTTCAACGATTCTTGATTTCTAATATTAGTTATTTCGTGCTTAAGAGTTTCATTACTCTTTTCCAGAAACTCAAGATAATCTGTAAGTTTTAAATTACAAATTGTAATATTATCAATTTTCTTCAACTAAATTAGCACTTAATTTAAATAGTAGTTTGTAGGATATCTTTTTTACCTCATGATCATCTTCTTTGTGAGATACGTTCAAGCAAACTTCATCTTCTTCGTTGAAAGAATATTCTTCGAAGGTTCTTCAAGTGGTTTACTCTTTATCATTTCTATAGGTCTTATTCTCTCGAAGATTTCACTAGACGAGGCATCCACTTCATATCCTCTTATAGATGACATTCCTTATTTTAATGTTGAATCCTCCGGTGATCGTTTAACTACCGAGACTGTTCTTTTGAAGGAGATCATATGAGTTGACTTGTAGGAGTTTGATGAATTTGTTAAGGATTCTTCTAGCTTTAATTTGATTTTTTCATCTTTAAGTAATTGAACTAATTAGTTCAACTTCTCTACAAATTCTTCCTTCTTCAATTTTTCCTAAAAGTCATCAACACTCTCATCGACTAATTTAAGGACTAGATGAGATTTGTAATTTTAATTCTTAATTCTTAGATATTTTTTAGTGATAAGCGTTATAACATTATATCCAACATTTCTAAATTTAGATAAGCATTTATGAATGAAACATTCATTTTCTTTGCTTGTTATGTTCATTCGTTTTTGTCCGACACTTGGAGAAACTTCATATATTATTTCAAGAGAATCTCACATTTTCTTTGCAGATTTACAATTATGAACATAAAATAATTGATTATCATCTAATGACAAAATTATGAAAATCAAGTTTATATAATATTTCTCCATTTATGCGGTGAGTATGGATAAATGGACCATTAATTATTTCTTTGTTTTAAAATCAATATTAAACATTCTCTTTTTCTCTATGGTCCAAAGAAAATCAAGTTTATATAATATTTCTCCATTTATGCGGTGAGTATGGATAAATGGACCATTAATTATTCTTTACCGTGATTTAAAATCAAAACTTTGAATGAAGATAGTAAATCTACCTTTCCATAGTTCAAACATATCACTATTAAATGGTGCATGTGTGTTTAGGAAAGACCTCTTGTTAAAAATAGTGTTGAAAATCATCCTACATGCGAGACGATTAATCTTTAAACGGGAATTAGACTTTGATGTCACTTCTAATAATAATGTTTCTCAATCTCTTTAGATATCCTCAAATGACTCCCAATTCTTAAAACAATGAATTATAGGAATTTCTACAAATGTCTTCTAAGTTTTTCTCCCTGGAATTAGCACATTTTTTATCATTTTATAAAAGTGACATAGAACCATATTTATAAAGACTTAAAATTCAAATGAACTAGATTTTCATAGACTACTCCGTGAGCTGACCAGAGTTGTCCCCGAGTCATCGTCTCTGACAAATAACTGTGGTGAAAACAAAACAAAAAAATTGTTCAAAAGCTTCTCTATATCACTTGAAATTTTAAGACATACATTTACAACATAAGTGACACTTAAGATCTTTAACTAACATAAAAGCTCTTTTCTTACAATGAAATCTGGTTAGAAGAACGACATGTAAATCTATGGGATTTAAAATATTAAATTATTATAAAATTAATTTAAAAGATTAATTTATTACAAATATCTAACCATATTTTTAGCCTAATTTCTATTAAATGCATATTTTTGCATAACATAAATTTCTTCAATACTAGGTATACATTACCACCTTCCAAAAGCAGAGTTGGCTAGATATCCATGCTTTTGTTTGACAAAAGAGGCATTGAAGAAGATGGGAGAATGTTATTTTCACTTGTGATGAGTTTCTCTTGACCCTTAGCCCATATTACACCATAAAATCCACTAATTATAATAGTAGCTCCAATCATGCTGCACCCACACACAAAAAATTTCAAAAAAAATGGTCAATATTATATTTCTATATGATTAAATGAATCTTCACATATTAATTATTAGTTTACCTTCCAAGATAAAGATTGTCTCCCAGAAATATTACTCCCATACCAAGTGCAATGACAACTCTTAAAGGTTTGAATATAGCTACGAATATTGGTCCTTTCTTACGACATGCCCATATAGTTACAACATTCCTCGTCGATACAACAAATATTGCCTATACATTAAATATCATAACACCAATATTTAAACTAAAACATATTTTAAAGTTATACAGAAGTTTAGTTTTATTTTAATTTATTAACATTAATAAAGTGTATACTTACTGAGTAACACACTGATACAAACTCCTTATCAGGTCTAAGTATCCAAGCTTTTGAAATACCCTCTGAAATGAGAGCCACAATGGAAGATAGGGTTACCACAAAAGTGCAACAAATAGTTGTTACCACTAGCTCTTCTTGATATTCCTTGATGATCCAAGTCTGTATACATATGGAAGTTTAAAATAAATAAAAATTCAGAACTATAGTCAATGCGGCTCAAGTTACAAATATGATGTAGTTGTAGTCTTGTAAAGATATTTATTGTCTTTTTATTACTCTTTTACCTTAAAGTATAATGATGTAAATTGAACATATAACTTAAATAGAATTACGAGAGAGAAAGGATGTTCTTAATAAAGTTTCTTTAATATTCTATTTCATTCACTTGAATTTTATTTAGAACTTAGCATATAAATGGCATTTTATAGGCTAAATTTTATGATGCATAAGTAAATTTCTTGTAAGCTAAGATATTTATTTCTTAATGAATAATAAAACATAGGTTACGTAATAGATTACAAAAAAACCTAAGTTACATCTTTAAGGTTCTTACTTGTTTTAGATAATTTATTTTTTAACATTGTCTCCCTTAAATCAAGCTCTCAAACTTATGATTCGAAACATCTTCTTTAACGTGTAAAATAACTCGATCTTTAGAGTCTTTGTAAATATATTTGCAATTTGTTCTTCAGTGGGACAATAAAGCTTTATCACCACTTCCTTTTAAGGAACTAGTGCTCAAATCTTGTGAAACCGTCCATGTAAAATTGAATGATTGCTTAGTGTTATAGCGAACTTAGTGGGAACAGGATCTGCTACTTCTAATAGGTATGTAATTCAAGAATCAGGTTTTGCGAGATATAGATATGAAAGAGGATATGCTCGAACCAGACTGCATTTTGATTTTCCATAAGACGCAAGCGACAACCCGAGAGCGGATCCCTTACCGGCAGGGGGACAGGAGACAACCATCTCGAGGAACATCACGACCTACAGGCAAGAACGGGGAGACCTGGGAAGGAAACCTGATTGGGAGTCAGAGGATCCATAGTACCTGCAGCCACGCGGACTTCATCATAGTTTTTGAAAGCAGGGGGAAGGGATCTCCTCTCTGCAACAGAAAAAAAACGGAGCAAATTTTACATGGCACAACCTAACGATGCACCCAATACGTAATCACAATATATTTATGTAGGACTATTATTTTCTTTATGTATTACTTCTAAAATTATTCTCAACCATACTTTTTGAATAGTAAAATTAGTTGGTGGTATATATTCTACTTCAGCGGTAGAATGTGCGACAAATGATTACTTCTTTGAAGACTATGAAATTGCATCTGTTCTTAAATGAAATGCGTACCATAATGTGCCTTTTATTGTTTCAATATCTCCATCCCAATCACTATTTATGTATCCAACATGTTATTGAGGTACAAGTGTGAGTTAGAAATATGGCATTCCTTGAAAAAAAATCGAGGTCGAGCCCTTTTTAAGTGAGAGCAACCATATAATGCTTTCTTCAATCATGAGACTTTATCTTTATTTTCTTGGATTATATATCTTGTAGGTCTCACAACATTCACTTCTTTTTCCAGATTCTCATTATGAATTCCAGACTTAACATTTATTTGATGTATTTTCCAACTATTTTGAGCTGAGATCGAAATAATTCAAGTTGTATACAACCTTGAAACAAAAGCAAATACCTCCAAATAATTAATAATTTATTTTTTCTTGTATCTTTTTTTAACCACCTTGCTTTAAAGTGATCAAATTCATTACTCTATTTATACTTTGTCTTGTACACCCACTTCAATTCTATAGGTTTCTTGTGTGTCGATAATTTTGTTAGCTCTCATGTTTTATTCTTTTCAATTCATTGATTTCTTCTTCCATGAATTTTGTCTAATTTTAGTCATTTGTCGCTTCTCCACAAGTAATTAGTTCCTAATCTAAAACTAAAGCAAACTTGATAATTTCTTCATCATATAGATTATTATTGTTATGAAAAACACAATCTTGTAATTTGGCAGGTAATCCATGGGACCTATGTATTTTTTTTTGGATATTTTTGGCTCACTATGTATTGGATTAAGTTCTTTCTCCCCTTCGTAATCATTTGAAGTCACTATTGGATCCTTTTATCAATTTGAGGACCAATCCCATATTCCCCATTCATCAAAAGTTACATATTGATTGGTAATCACCTTATTTGTCTCTAGATTGTAGAGTTTATAGGATTTGAGATTACACTGTAGCCAAACAAGATACATCTCTTGCATTTATCATCCAACTACTATATCAATTGATATAGTACATTAGTATATAAAATACATCTAAAAAATCGTAGGTGTCAGATTCAAGTTCTACTTCAACTCCAAGCTCCTTTAATAGTATTTTCTTGAACACTTTTTGTTGGACATCTATTCAAAATATAAGCTACAGCAGAAACTCCTTCTGCCAAATTTTTCTTATGCATATATTTGGCTTACAACATGCATCTTACCATATTTATGATTCTTTTCTTTTTATTTTTGGAAAATCCATTATGTTGAGGTGTGTATCTTGTTGTTAATTGATGCTCAATTCCATATTTCTCAATGAAACTTCTACAAACATAGTATTATTGGCCTATGCCTATTTTCAACGCTTTATTTCACAACTACTTTGTTTTTCTACAAATTCTTTAAATGTTTTTAAGGTATCACAAGCTTCCGATTTTTGTTTCAATAGATACACTCCAAAATTTTATTCTAAAATCATCATTAAAAGTAATAAATCATCTACAACCACCAAGTGTTGGTATTTCTACTAAGCAGAAGTCTCTGGATGAATTATCTCCAAGAGTTTATTCAATCTCCGAGATTTTCTAGTTGGAAATATGTCTCTATATTTCTTTCCCATTTGTCAAATTTCACACATAATATATGAAATATTTACACTCACACTAGCAATACATAACCTACTCTGTGAGATGTTGGGTCAAACTCTAGCTCTGTCTAGGAATAACTTTCATGTATTTCGATAAAAGACAAGCATGAAGTCGAAGATAGGTCTCATATTATGGTCAAAGGATGCATATTATAGTCGAAATATGTTCTAGTATGTATTGTCGAAATGTATGTAGAATTGGGTCTTGTGTTAAGGATCCAATTGTTTAGTTAGCTTGGGTTGCAAGTTATCTAGTTAGTCTATATATAGGCTAGATCACACAGGTTGTTGAGTGAGGCCAATTTTGTTATTCATTTGTAATCATTTGTAAATCCTAAATGAGAAAATGAATAGTATAGCAATTTTCCCTAATCCTTCTTCTTCTTTCTTCTTTATCCTTTCTTTATTCTCTCTTTGTTCTAACCGTTTTCTTTGTTCACCCAAGAACTTCGTTTCTCAATCTTTATTTGTTGAAAGGTATCGTTTGTGATCACAACAAACTGGTGCAATGAGCATGGAGAAGATTTCGTCAAGAAAGTTTAAAGTTGAGAAGTTCACCAGAGTTCATGACTTCGGTTTATGGCGTTTGAAGATGTGAGCCCTTCTTATTCAATAGGATTTGATAGAAGCGTTAAAGGGAGAAGATGCCATGGATGCTGCATTGACGGAGAAGGAAAAGACAAAGATGATCGAGAAAGCCTACAATGCAATTGTTCTGAGTCTTGGTGATAAGGTTCTCAGACATGTTTTAAAGGAGACGGCGACAACTGGTGTTTGGATGAAACTCGAAGTATTGTATATGAAATAAATCCTTGGTGAATTATTTGTACTTGAAGCAAGCTTTGTATTCATTCAAGATGAATGAAGATAAAGCGTTGATGGAGCAGCTGGATACGTTCAGCAAGCTGATCTTTGATCTTGAAAATAATGACGTTACCATTAATGATGAAGATCAAGCGTTGTTATTGTTGTGTTATTTACCTAAGTTACATGCTTACTTAAAAGAAACCTTTTTGTATGGAAGAGAGTCCTTGGCCTTTGAAGAAGATCAAGCAGCCTTGTATTCGAAGGATTTGAACGAAAGAAAAGAGCCGAAACCATCATCATCAGTTGGCGAAGGGTTGTCCGTAAAGGGGAAATCATCGAAGAGAGATGGTAGGTTTGAGAAAATGAAAGGTAAAACTCAGTAGAAGTCTTATGGTAGTGATATTTCTGGGATTATGTTTTATCACTGTAAGAAGAAGGGTCACACAAGAAATATGTGCCATGAGCGTCTGAATAATCATGGAGGTAAGGACAATGACAATGCAGTTATTGTGCAAGATGATTGTGAATCATCTGATGTCCTTGTGGTGTCGAGCAGCAACTCTTGCAAAGAGTGGATTATAGATTCTGGATGTACTTGGTATATGACTCCAAACAAGAATGTGTTTGAAAAATTATGTGATCAAGATGGTGGATTAGTGCTACTGGGAAACAATAAAGCTTGCAAGATTGCAGGTATTGGATCCGTAAGATTCAATCTCCATGATGAGTCAATAAGGCTATTGACTGGGGTTAGGTATGTACCTGGCCTTAAGAGGAATTCAATTTCTCTTGGTGAATTTGACAAGAAAGGATATGTCTTCAAAGGAGATTAAGGCATCCTGAAAGTCATGAAGGGGTCGAAGGAAGTCTTGAGAGACGTGGAGAAACAAGGCTTGTATACCCTTAAGGCTAAAGTTGTAAGTGGTTCAGCAGATTTTGAATCCATGAAACCGGTGTCGAAGACAGAATTATGGTACATGAGATTGAGTCATGTCAGCGAAAGAGGCCTGGTCGAATTGAGGAAAGAGAACCTATTATGTGGTGACAAAGTCGAAAAGTGGGAGTTTTGTGAAACTTGTGTATTTGGAAAATCCTGTAGGGAAAAGGTAAACAAAGAACGCATGGATCACTTAATTACATTCATGCGGATCTTTGGGTGCCTGCAAGGAATCCTTCATATGCAGGTGCAAGGTATTTTCTATCCATATTTGATGATTATTTCAAAAAATCACGGGCATTGATTCAGAAGACTAAGGATGAACCTTTTGAGAATTTCAAAAGTTGGAAGGTTCTGGTCAAAACTCAAACTGGCAGAAAGGTTAAGAGGTTGAGAATTGACAATAGCCTTTAGTTCTGCAATGAAGCTTTCAACAGTTATTGTGTTGAGTCTGGGATTGCATGGCATAAGACTGTAGCAGGTACTACTCAATAAAATGGCTTAGCCGAGAGATTCAATCGAACAATCCTTGAAAGGGTTAGATGCATGTTGGTTAGTGCTAGATTGAAGAAGGTGTTTTGAGTGGAGGCTGTTTCGAAACACCTTATCTAATAAACAGATGTCCCTCGACTGCCTTTAGAATGAAGACACCTAAAGAAGTTCGGTCGGGTCAACCACCTGATCTCGACAAATTGAGAGTATTTGGTTGTTTAGCCTATGCTCACATTAGGCAAGACAAGGTCAAACTTAGAGCTATGAAATGCATGTTCTTTGGATATCCTAAGGAAGTAAAAGGTTATATGATGTGGTACCTAGAACCAGGTCAAAGAAGATGTATCACAAGTCGTGATGTAGTTTTCAATGAATTAGAGATGGCGTTCAAGAAAACTGGTGATGTTGGTCGAAGTGCAGAAATATCTAGAGAAGATCTAGAACACGTAAAGATTCCTATTGAGGTGGAGCATAGTGATGCTGCAGTGCATAACCCAGATGAAGTCGAAGAAGAAGAGCAAGATGCTGGAGAGACTGAGGAAACTATCGATGACTACCTACTGGAAAGAGATAGGTCGAGAAGAGTCATCAAGCCACCTCAAAGACTTGGTTATATGGATCTTATAGCTTTTTCCTTAATCTCTGCAAGTGAGGTACTTGAGGAAGAACCTAGAGATTACAAGGAAGCTATGAGGAGTCGAAATAAGACTGAATGGAAAAAAGCCATGGATGACGAGATGAAATCTCTTCATGATAATAAAACTTGGGAAATGATTGAGAAACATGCAGGAGCAGGGTTATTAAGTTGTAAGTGTATTTTTAAGGTCAGGGAAGGAATCAAATGAGTAATGTCGAAGCGCTTTAAGGAAAGATCGGTTGCTAGGAGGTTCACTAAAAAAGAAGGTGTCGACTTCAATTATGTGTTCTCACCTGTTGTAAAGCATATATCCATTCAAATGTTGTTAGCCATGGTGGCAAAGTTTGACCGAGAACTTGAGCAAATGGATGTGAAGACAACATTTCTGTATGGTGACCTAGACGAAACGATCCTGATGCATCAACCTGAAGGGTATGCAGAAAAGGATAAGGAAGATTATGTGTGCAAGTTGAATAGGTATTTGTATGGCCTAAAACAATCTCCTCGATAGTGGAACAAGAGATTTGACAAGTTTATGGCACATATTGGTTTCATTAAGAGCCAGTTCGATCACTGTGTTTACTTCAGATTTCGACCTGGAAATTCACTTGTTATTTTGTTGTTTTATGTGGATGATATCCTCATAGGTAGCAACAATGTCGAGGATGTAATAGAGGTGAAGGCTGAACTCAACAAGGAGTTCGAAATAAAGGATATGGGAGCTACCACCAGGATTCTTGGGATTAACACTTGGAGAGATAGAAAGCAGTCAGATTTGTGCTTATCTCAAGAGACATACCTACGGAAGCTTCTCGACAAGTTTGGTATGTCGAATTCAAAGCCTATTGTGACACATACAAATCCTCAGTTTAAGCTAAGTACTTCTTAACGTCCAAGTATTGAAGCTGAAAGAATTTATGTGAGTAGCATTTCATATGCTAGTGTAGTAGATTCTTTAATGTATGTTATGGTATGTAGGAGGCCAGACATAGCTTATGGTGTGAGCCTTGTAAGCAGGTATATGGCCCTGGAAAGACGCACTGGTAAGCTATAAAGTGAATTCTCAGGTACATAAATGGGTCTCTGAGTCGAGTCCTGATTTATGGTGGAGCCTGTGGAGGTGATAGCATAGTCGAAAATGAAGGATTTGTCAACTCTGATTATGCAGGTAGTAAGGATTCCAGAAACTCTATTTTTGGATATATGTTCACTATGTTTGGCACAACAATCAGTTGGAAAGAAACGCTTCAGAAGGTTGTTGCCTTATCAACCATTGAAGTAGAATATATTACCTTCACTAAAATTGTGAAAGAAGCATTATGACTTAAAGATTTTGCAAAGGAGCTGAAACTTCAAGGTCGAAGTATCACTGTTAAATGTGATAGTCAAAGTGCAATACACTTGTTGAAGAACTCAGCCTATCATGAGTGAACAAAACACATTGATGTGAGGTTGTATTTAGTTAGAGAGATAATCAAGTATGGTGAAGTTCAGGTGCTGAAGGTTTCGACTGATGATAATGCTACTGATATGATCACCAAGACGTTGTCAAGTTGCAAGTTTTTCTACTTTATGCAGTTTATAGAGCTTCATGATGAAAGCTAGTTTATTCTCTGTTGTCTGTAGAGTTAGATCCTAGGTGGATATTTGTGAGATTCTGGGTCGAACTCTAACTCTGTCGAGGAATAACTTTCATGTGTTTCGACAAGAGACAAGCATGAAGTCGAAGATAGGTCGCGTGATGTGGTCGAAGGATACATATTATAGTCGAAGTTTGTTCTAATATGTATTGTCGAAATGCATATCGAATTGGGCATTGTGTTAAGGATCTAATTATTTAGTTAGCTTGAGTTGCAAGTTATCTAGTTAGTCTATATATATGCTAGATCACTCAGGTTGTTGAGTGAAGCCAATTGTGTTATTCATTTGTAAACCCTAAATGAGAAAGTGAATAGTATAACAATTTGTCTTAATCCTTCTTCTTCTTATTCTTTCTTCTTTATCCTTTCTTCTTTCGCTCTTTGTTTTAACTGTTTTCATTGTTCACCCAAAAATTTCATTTCTCAATCTTTATTTGTTGAAAGGTATCGTTTGTGATCACAACATACTCTAATATCAATTTGATGTCAATTGGATATAGAATATAGATGACCTTTTATAAGGAAATTTCTTATAAGTTATATATTTTTTAATGCATAAGAAAATAGAACTTGCTTAATAGATGAGAATGTTAAGTTACTTAATAGATAAGAAACTTAGGTTACTTAATAGATAACAATGTTTGGTTACTTAATGAATTAATAAACTTAAATTACTTAATGGATGAGAATATAGTTCATATTTCTTGGTTAACTTTTCACTCATTAGAAGACATTTGATTTAATTTCTAACATATAACATGAAATATTTATTTCTAAATTACTAAATATAAGTATTGTTTTTTTTTTCTTTAAATAAATTTTAAATTAAAACAATTAAAATAAATATTGACTGTTTATATTTTCAAAGCATATTTTAAGAACATCTATGTATAAAATAGATACAATTAATTATACTCACAATTTTTTATAAAGAAAAAAATGCAAATGATATTTATATTTAAGATTTTAAGTACATAAAAGTGAGGCAGGCAGCTCAATTGATATATGTTAATTGAGTTAAATGAGAATAAACTATCAATTCAGAGTTCAATTAATATTTATTTATATTTATATACTAAAATGTAATCGAAATATTAATATTTATAAATCAACAAATAGTGTAGGTGACATAGCTCAATTAGGCATAAATTTTTAGTCTAAGTGTTGAAACTCTGATAACAACATTTTAAAAACATCAACAAATAAAATTTTTGGTCTAAGAGATTATATTTATAAATAAAGAATTAAAAAATATATATATATATATATATATATATATATATATATATATATATATATATATATATATATATATATATATATATATATATATATATATATATATATATATATATATATATATATATTTACCTGAACTATATGTAAAACTGAGAGGCAAAAGCTAGCGGTTGCAAGAAGAATAGCCCCAATTATCCAATCTGATTTTTCTGAGATGTTAATTCCACGAGCTCCGATTTCAATATTTTGAAAGGCATTACTAAGCAATGGTATCCCTTTATAAAATGTCACAGTAAATGCCCCTGCAACGCAGACCATTGTACCAATAACTTTTATCTGACTACTATGTTGTTTCAAATTTATAATTTCCATCCTGAAAATGCACAATACAGTGTTCACGCCAAAAGAAAAATCTGGTTTTGCAATGTTTATAGAGTAATCAAATAATTATTAATACTAATCTATTGATTATAATTTAAATTTTTAGAAGCAAATGAGTGAGATATCATGAGTTCAAATACATGTCTATGAAACTACCAATCGAGCTCCAATAACATGGTTGATTAATAGTGATTTTAGTTGTATGTCATAATTTATTTAATAAAAAGTAGGAATTTAAAATTATTTTTATCAAGAGAAGATGAATACATATAAATGAAAGAACTGCTCTTCTACATCTTTTTGAATGAAAAAATCAATTTCTCTTAAAAACAAAATTTATATCATAGGAAACACAACATTCCTATATGTATGATTCTGTGAGCTATTTGTAAAAGATCTACAATCGATGGAGCTTGGAAATCAAAAGTGTAAAATATCTACAATCATTTCTCAAGTTTGACCACTTTACTTAAATGGCTACGTGAGATGTTTGTCCCACAATAAAACCTTAAGTCATCAACCCCACATGATTCACTAAATATAAATCTTCCAACATTTAGATTGGTCGAGAAATTCACAAGCGCGTCTTGCTTCACAAGTACTCTTTTCTCTGTAGAAATATATCAATACAGACATATCTAACAAATTCATGTCGGTATTTGAAGTATGGAAACGCCTTACAATAAATTGTGTATTCTCAAAGGTATCCAAGCACAACTTACAACAAATATATCAAACCTCTTCAATAAAAAATAAATGATTCATAAGAAGATTACTTAGAATCGTATGTAATCTACCAATGACATATTATGGCCAAACATATCCATATGATAGCTAAGAGAATATCTTGAGCATGTGATGCTTGGCTGCTTGCAAACACCCAAAATTTAATTTTGGTCTTGTTGTCATGTCAAACTTTACTTTTATATTTTGAACATTTTTTATTATAAAAAAAATACACTAACCAAAATGTGATGAGCTTTAATGGGGAGTGTGTATTTTCTAGTCAAACTATTAACGTAAAAATTTGAAATCTCGCCACTAAGATCATCCAATGCTCTATTTAAACTAGAGTTAGTACCATATATCTCACATTATCTCTCAATATATGGTCTTATAACACACAAGACTGGGCCTTAAAAATTTCATTTGGAGAACACAGAGTTCATTATAAGAGATACTTTATCCCAAAAGCGTATAAGGCATCCTCTATTGTAAATACAAACTTAATCTCTCAACTTTAATAGGTAAAAAAAACTACACTCTATTTATGGTCTTAAAGAAAAAACTTCTTATTGAAAAAAATAGTTTCCTCCTCCATGTGAATTGATTGACACGTATCTTTGGCCAAAATAAAGTTTGAAATACCTATGCAAGATCAAAGTTAAAGAAGTTTACTGTATTGATCCCTTAACTACAGCAGCAGATGCATTAACTTAACTATCATGGAAACTCTCTCCATGGACAATCCTTAATTGAAACCTTTATCCTGACTAATAGCTCCTCCAAACACCAATCTCCCATTGTCTGAATTGTACAACCCATAAAATTTACTGCCAACACATGAAAGTCAAAAGATCTATGTCTTATGAATATTTTTTTCAAGGCCAATCTCTAACTTGTTTATTCAATGATGTAATAAAGAGCTTAAGCCACCTTTTTGAATCTCTTAAGATGGTCCTATAATCAAAATTCTAGGCATGAAGAAAAATTTTGTAATTGTTTTTTATCTTAAGAATAAGAGGGTGTAACTGAAGAGAAAGAGGAGTAGCTGAAGAGAAAGAGAGTATAAATTTTAATCTTTCTTTTTCAAAATCCAATTTATTGTAAGCTTCAAATATTATGGTGAATAAAATATATTTTATGCTGCTGACTTTTGATGCAAGTGGTGGCTGGGAATCCGAAGAAGATAAAGCTTGAAATTTCATGAAATAAAAAATAAATAAAAAAAGAAAGAACAAACCTTGAAATTAGAGCAAGTATGAAGGTAAAAGCAGGGACAAGATCAACCATAGCTGATGCCAAAGTGGGAGAGCTATATCCAATTCCAGTATTCATTAAAATCTGCACTGAAGTTCTGCACATGTAGATTCTTATTCAAATTCTTATTATGACAACAATAATATATATTATGCTAATTAAATTCTTGGTTTTTTTATACATACTGGATGCAACTAAGAAGAAATACTCTACAGAAAATTGAAGTTGAAATTGGAGGAGGAGCTCTTTTCCTGTGATAGAAGAGGGTAGATGGTAGAAGAAAACAGAGAGCAAAAAGGTTTGAGTAAACAGTGAAAATGAAAATACTCATTCCATTTTTAGTTGCTGATTTCATTAGTGTGTCACCACCTACTTCCAGGAATTGAATTCCTACCATTGCTGCTGTTACACTTGCTCCTTCAATCACCATTTTTCTTTCTTTTTGTTTTTTCTCTTCAATTTGTTTTTCTCACTTCTTACTTTAATAGTATCTTGCTTTGGAATGATACCTTGTCTTTATCCATATTTTCAAATAAGTCTATATCAATTACTAATTTCTTTGGTGGATCAACATGTGAGAAAAAATAAAAAATTGTTAAATAATAAAAATGTTTCATTAATATATGTTTATTAAATGAAAGAGTAATTAATATATCTATATTTTTTTAAACATAATATTCATGCGTGACGTTGAATGAGACAAAAATATTCATCATGATTTTATTTATAATAAAATTGCTAATTTTGAAATTAGTTTAATACATATGGATATGTCACTTATTAAGTTATGTGGTTGTTCACATATCAAATTATATCACGCTAGCCATTTAAGATAAATTAATCTAAAATGCCTGATTAAACCAAATTTATCTACTCATAATATTATTAATTACAGTTATATGATTGGAAAAACAATAAATGAATTAAAAGATGGAAATTAAGCTCCCTTAGTGAGGAAGAATTAATTCCTATTATGAAAAATTGTACATCTGTCTCCTTAGAATAAAAATTTAGAACCCATCCACAACCATGTCATTTGAGGCCGTCATGCAAAGTTTACAACAACGAGAGGGCCAAAATATTAAAATAAAATATAATAGAAATGTATTGTAAGTGGGTGTGACATATCATGAAAAACGTTGTAGTCAACATTATGGGTGTGCAAAAAAACCGGTTATTATTAACTAAATTTGTATCCAAATTGTAAGTGCTCTTGATTTGCTGCATTTTGTGGCAAAACATTAGTGTGCGTATGAATGTCATGTCTGATGTTGATACATTCATAATATGGACTGTGCAGGGTAAGTTAACTAAGCTAACTATAAGTTAAGCTGGATGTCATACTCAATGTTATGACATAGGTCGTATGACATCAAGCGCAGGTTTGTTATTCTGGTAGCTAGAACTCAGGAAACAAATCAGAAACTCAAGCTGGGATTCAGGAAACATTTTAAAAGCCCTAAGCGAAATAAAATGTCCCTGAATGAATTGGCAAGTGGGCAGACAATTAAAGAAGAGGTTTTGTGATGAAAAACCTAGATTGTGCGCCCAGGCCCAAGGACTGATCTGCTGCTATAAATAATAGGAGAAGCAATTCTAAAAGACAGTTGTTGAAGATAGAGAAACAGAGAAATCACCATAGTGGTTTAGAAGTGAAGAGGTTGTTCTTCACGATTGTGTCTTAGGAACACTTGTAATCCAAGCATCTGTTGATTGCATTGGTTAGGTAGTTTCTACGCTGTCTGTCACTCGAAGCTGTTAAGCAAGAGTGTGAGTTCCTTGATCAAAGCTTTGAAGCAAGATCAAGGTGTGTGTAGTTGAAGTGTTTCTTCTTACTACTGTTATACTTGTAAGTGTTGTTGGATATCACTGAGGTGATTGTGGGGAGTGAGTGGGTATACTCAGGTCTAGAGTGTCTCTAGATTAAATTGTCATTGGGTAGGTTTTAAGTGAGGAGTGCAAACTGGAGGTTTGACTCTGAATTAATTCTACTAATAGAGAAATTTCTCCCTGGCTTGGTAGCCCCCAGATGTAAGTGTGTTGCACTGAACTGGGTCAACAACCAACTATGTTATTTACTGCTTTATAATTACTGCATAATAGTAGGTCTGTAGTGAATGTCACAGTGGATGTTATAACTTCTGTGAGAACATCCATCGTGAGCTAGCCAGAATTTTCAATTGGCATTAGAGCAGGCACCCTGCCTGTTTAAACTAGGTGAGATATAGGGAAAACAAATTCTGGTACAATGGATAAAGATATTGGATTCACCAATAGACCTCCAATTCTGGATGGTTCTAATTATGACTATTGGAAGCCTAGGATGATTGCATTCCTAAGGTCCTTAGACAGCAAAGCTCGGAGAGCTGCAAACTCTGGCTGGGAACATCCTGTGAAGACTGGCAAGGATGAAGTATCTGTGCAAATTCCTAAAGAGGAATGGACCAAAGAGCAAGAGGCATTGGCTCTTGGAAACTCTAAAGCATTGAATGCACTCTTCAATGGTATAGACAAAAACATCTTCAGACTGGTCCACCACTGTGAACTAGCAAAGGATGTTTGGGACACTCTCAAAACCACTCATGAAGGAACTTCCAAGGTAAAAATGTCTAGACTTCAAATGCTGACCACAAAATTTGAAAGTCTAAGAATGAAGGAAGATGAGACCATTCATGACTTTTACATGAATGTTCTTGAACTAGCTAACACCTCATGAGCTTTGGGAGAAAAGATGGCTGAAGAAAAGCTTGTAAGGAAGATTCTAAGGTCATTACCTAAAAGGTTTTCCATGAAGGTAACCGCCATTGAAGAAGCTCGAGACATATGCCACATGAAGGTGGATGAACTCATTGGTTCACTCCAAACCTTTGAGATGGGGATATGTGATCAGGCTATGGAGAAAAAGAGCAAAAGTATAGCTCTTGTCTCAAACAGTGTTGAGGATTCAAATGATGAAAAAGTGGAGAATTTAACAGAGGCAATAGCCATGCTTGGAAGACAGTTCAACAAACTGGTCAAAAGGATAGATGCTAAGTCTAAACCTTATTCCAAAAGCTTGCCTGCTGACAAAGAAAAATATGAGGAGAAAGTCAATACAGTACAGTGCCATGAATGTGAAGGGTATGGACATATCAGAAAGGAATGTCCAACATACCTCAAGAAAAAGGGAAAAGGCCTGACTGTCACATGGACTGATTCTGACAGTGAATCAGGAGAAGAAACAGCTAAACATGTCACTGCACCCACCAGTGTGTACATATCTGATGGTGATTCAAGTGAAGAGGAATTTATTTTTGAGGACCCTACAACCTCATATCAGAAGCTTCACATCAGAAGTGTAGAACTGTACCAACAAGGAGAGCTTCAGAAGGAAATCATCAAGGTATTAGAAGCAGAAAAGAAAGAGCACCTAGCCACAATAAACACACTCAGAGGTGAGGTAAATGATTTGAAATATGAGAAGGATCAAATGGCTAAATCCATAAGGATGCTCAACTCTGGGACTGACACCCTTGAGGAAATCCTTCAGAGTGGTCAGACTGCAGGAAATAGGTCTGGCCTAGGATTTGTTGAGAAACAAAATCCTGTCTTGAAACTCAAGAGGTTGCAGCCTGAGATGAAAATGTTACAAAGGATGTAACGACCAATGACACAACATCCAACACACAGAAACTGGAATCAAATCAAGAGAAAATTCCAAAGGCATAGATGCTACCACTGTGGAAAACTTGGGCATATTAAACTTGTGTGTTTCTGGCTGAATGGATTCCCTAGCCAAGGAAAAACCAAACAGGGTATGCATGGCAAAAGGCAACATCATGAAAAATGGCTGCATCAGGGCAAGAGGCATCATCCTGCCAAATCCATGAGGGAGGTGCCTAACAAGCAAAGAAAATGGGTTGCCAGAAGGTTGCACTTATAGCTCACACCTCTCTAAGAGTATTAGCTAAAGAAGATTGGTACTTTGATAGTGGCTGCTCCAAGCACATGACTGGCATAAAGAATCTATTGGTAGACATCAAACCACATTCCACCAGTTATATGACCTTTGGTGATGGAGCAAAATGAAAGATCAAAGGTGTTGGGAAACTGGAATACCTTGGAGTCCCTACCCTAGACAATGTGTTGCTGGTGAAAGGGCTAACTGCCAACTTGATCAGCATCAGTCAGCTCTATGATCAAGGACTGAGTGTGAAGTTCTCTAAAGAAGAATGTGTGGTCACAAATGATGGAAATAAAGAAGTCATGAAAGGACGTAGATCCAAGGATAACTGCTATCTGTGGCAGCCTCAGGACACTAGTAAATCCACAATTTGTTCTATGGCAAGAGAGGAAAAGGAAGTAAAATTGTGGCATCAAAAACTTGGACATCTTCATCTAAGGGGAATGAAGAAGATCATCTCCAAGGAGGTTGTGAGAGGGATACCTAAACTAACTATTGATGAGGGAAAAGTTTGTGGGGAATTCCAAGTGGGCAAACAAACCAAGACTTCTCATCCTAGGGTTGGACATCTAACCACCTCCAGAGTTCTGGAACTACTGCACATGGATCTGATGGGACCAATGCAAATAGAAAGCCTTGGTGGGAAAAGATATGCTTATGTGGTGGTTGATGATTACTCTATATTCACCTGGATAAGATTTATCAGGGAAAAGTCTAATGTATTTGAAGTCTTCCAAGAACGGTGTATCAAACTCCAAAGAGAAAAAGAGAGTGTTGTTATCAAGATCAGAAGTGATCATGGAAAGGAGTTTGAAAACTCCAAGTTTGCTGAATTTTGTGCAGTTGAAGGCATAAGCCATGAATTTTCCTCACCTATCACCCCTCAACAAAATGGAGTAGTAGAAAGGAAAAATAAAACCATTCAAGAATCTGCTAGAGCCATGATCCATGCAAAGAAGCTGCCTATGCACTTCTGGGATGAAGCTATGAATACATCATGATATGTTCACAACAGGGTTACTCTGAGAAAGGGAACATCCTCCACTCTGTATGAATTGTGGAAAGGAAGAAAACCAAATGTGAAGTATTTTCACGTGTTTGGAAGCAAATGCTACATCTTGGCCGGTCGTGAACAAAGAAGGAAAGTGGATCCCAAAAGTGATGAAGGAATATTCTTAGGATATTCTACCAACAACAGAGCTTACAGAGTATATAACTCCAGAAATAAAGTGTTAATGGAATCCATTAATGTTATCATTGATGATCAGTCTGATGAAAGCAATGTCATAGAGGATGTAGGAACATTGGTTGAGACTCCATCTGAGGAGACTGAAGACACCCAAGCTGCAAGTCCAAGTACTGAACCAGATACAGCCACCAAGGAACCTTCTATTAGACTTCTGAAAGATCATTCCAAAGACCTAATCATTGGAGACCTCAACAGTGGAGTAAGGACCAGAGCAAGAGATGTCATCTCAAACTCTTGT